TTGAAATAGTTCAAACTTGAATATGAAAAATAACTTCTGAGACTACGCAAATCTAAAGAGTGAGCATTCGAATAAGACATTATTTCATTAAGGGCTAAGTATTTAATACCTGACACACATTTATTTCGAAATGTTTAACACTTGAACGGTACTGAAATATAAGCTAGATAAATTATTATTTTATACTAATTGAAAATATAAATATGTACATAAATAAATTTGCAACTGTCTATTCATTTTTCTCTTCTTTTAGTATTGGAAACAATGAATCGTCGGATCGAATCATTGGAATCTAAATTTGAACGATGATTGGATCAATTATCTCAAAAAGTAGATAATCTATATGAGCGTGGTTCAGCTTCAATAATTATGACTCATTTTAATACAAATCATTACTTAGAAGCACCAATTTTACCAACCAGTAGAGTGTTTAATTCTCATTATTCCAAGGAAACAAAACGGTTATTTGCTTTTTATGCTCAAGAAATGACCAAAAACTATGCTCATTTAGGAACTGATGTCTATACAAAATTCGGCATTTCATTGAGACCTGAACAAATAGAAATTGATTTGTTAGGATTTGCTTATGAAAGAAGCAATAAAAAGAAACCAATATTTAAATCACCGAACTTTCAATCATTGCAAGCTAATTCCTCCTATTCTTTCATCAGGCCATTTGAAGCAAACATAATCATTCTCGCCGAAGTCACCACCGCTGTCATCGATTTCGATGATGAAGAATTAATGAAGCTTGAAGCAGTATGTTTCTTTCTTTTATCTGGTATTTGTTTGTTTTCTCTGCTAGTTACATCGAGATACAATCATCTACAATCTTCATATTGTTGCAATGATCAAGAATGACTGGAAATGTAGATTAGTTGATGAAAGATAAAGATGCACTTAGATACCGATTCATTGATGAAAGAGACAGATAAGAAACAGATTAACGATTAGTGTGAGAAACTCGGAGGAAATCACAATAAGAAAAGTCAGTTGAAGAAAATACTTTTTCCTAATTCTATCTAAGACTTCATTTGAGTTTTACAGAATTCAGTATTGAAAATTAATTCTTGAGTGTTTTTAGTTGTTGCAATATGAACAAAATGAACAGTAAATCGAATGATAATATTGAGCATTGAAATCGGTTGATTTAGATATTTTCGACAGGATCTCTATCTACTTTTAAGCTCAGTAAAGAAAGTGACCAATCAAAGGACTAGTCTCTGTCTCAGAGATACTTTTCTTTTACTAGGAGACTTACCTCTGATTCTTCGTGAGAACATTCTACTTTCTATTTTATACTTCTTAACTATCAATTTCTTTAATGTGCACTTTTTTGCCATCTCTTATCTTAGACTGATCTGAAACCGGACAACAAAGCCATTCCAACATACAATCTTATACGCAAACTATTACAATTGGAACGTTCAATCACTTTTGTTTTACTTTATTTTGTGGGTGCTAAAATTGAAAATTTATTAGTTGCTTTAGTCGGTAGTTTTCATCATCATCATGCATCGTAACAGGTGTTCAGGTCGGTCTTTAATTCTCATTTTGTCAACAAAATACCGATCCTTTACAAACTATTCAGATTAGAAAATGAACAAAAAAGTAAGCAGCTTTATTTTGTATCATAAATTTGTCATTATGGGATCGGTGTTTGGTATGCTTTGCATTTTGTCTGTGTTTTTTCATTTTTTTTTAATTCAAAATATATGCTAGTTCCTTTTGCTGATCATAGTCATTCGTTCATTTTAAATTCTAAATAAAGGTTCACACCGGACTAAAGTTATTTGAATCAACAGGTTGATGGGAATGCTTTATAGTGGTCAAGTAACAAGCTTGAGAAACGTACTATCGATAAGGCAAACATAAAAATACAGTTGCTATCAACTTAATATTCACCACGATAAATCCAAAGTATCTTTTTCGACTGTTTAAGTTGAAATATCACTCACAACAAAATTCGAGTCAACGATAATAATTTAATGTTATACATGCATTGAGCAATGATGAATAGCCCCTCTAAAAAATTTATCTCAAACTTTAACTCTACAAGCGATTTTAATTAAGTGTATCAGTACATTGTTGATAATTTTCTAATTCAGACCAAAGTATAACTAATTATTTCATAATGTATAATACTGATTTATTTATTTATCTATGTGTGTTATAAAAGATATGTTTATACTCTTAATTGACACATTTATAAATACTGGATACTTTTCTGTACTCAAATTCTTGAGCTCAATAAAATCAGGTTCAGATCTTCAACTAGAATCTGTATTCTCTAAAAACTTTTCAAAATGAAAAGCTATATGAGTATTTTTGATTTCATATGGTAAAACAACAAATATTTCTCTAAAAAAGTGCATAGTCGAATAATGGATAAGTTCTTTGTAATGCTTCTTATAGAAAAAAAACTTTGAGGTGTGTGTTCGATTTATTGAATTCTATAAAAATACAATCAATTTTAAAAAAAAAAGAAGAGTCGTGCGAGATTTTTTTAATATCACAATAAAATATTGAGGTATGAAAATCATTCAATAAATTATCAGAAAAAGAAAAATTCTTGTAAAAATTTAAGAGGAAAAATTCGGCGATAAAAATAGTTGAAGATAATCATCTTGTGAACAAATTCGACAAAATTCATCGGGAGTTATTTTCATATCACCATTTTCATCAAATTTCGTAATAAATCTATTTAAATGTTTAATTATATCATCTTTTAAACGATCATTATTTGATTCACCACGAAGTGAAAGAACCATTTTAATTATTGTTTCAATTTCAGATTTTGTTAATATTCCATTTTTATCAAAATCATATAAATCAAATGCATAATGAAGTTTTTCATCTAAATCACCATTTTCAAATAAATCCATTGCTAAGAGAAATTCATTAAAATCAATTTTTCCTATTTCATAATAATAATAATTAAAAAATACAAAAAGAAAAAGAAAAAAAACCTGAATTATCTTTATCAAAAGTAACAAATACTCTTTTAGCATATTGTGTTGCATCACCATTTGGAAATGCTTGATTATACATATCAATAAATTGTTTTTGTGTTAAAAGACCATCGGGACAATCTTCATGAAATTTATCTAAGCAAACAAATAAATAAATAAATTATTTTAATTTAAATGATATTCATTTATATTTTTCAAGTTAATTCATAACATACCAAACCATATTTGAATTTCATGTTTATTCATGCGTGTTCGAGTTTTTAAATATTCAATTTGTGTCGGAGATAATTTTGGTTTAATAACTTTTTTTGTTTCAAAAGCTCCCATTCTCTGAATTTAATATATAAAAAATATTTATTTTTTTTTTAAATAAATAGGATAAATATTTTTATTAATTGAAAAAGTAAAAAAAAAAAAGAGGAGATTATAAAAAAAAAATAACAAAATGAAAACCAAAAATTTCATAAATGTTTTATTATTGTTTAATATGGATATTTCGATCATTAATTAAAGGTTTATTTATATCTTGTGATGATAAATGAGCCAAATCTTCCATTTCTTCACTTCGATGAAGTGAACCTTTTCCGTGTTCAACATTTTCATACATTTTTCTTTTATCTTTTTCAGTTAAATGTGTTAAATCTTCAACTTCAGCCGAACGTTGTAATGGAGCTGAATCTGCCATGATTTTCTTTATTTACTACAAAACAAAAAAAGTTTTGTTCGATTCAGTTATCTATGCATCTATCTATCATCATGTGAGCGAGCCTAGCCTATACTATATTTACTAATAACCAATCTTATATGTCTAGTTTATTGAATATTGATAAGAAGCGACATCTTACCAAAACATTCATAGAATCGATCCGCAACAATAAGCACACCTCACTTTCTTTAATAGTATCTTCATTAATGATTAGTACTTCATTTTCAATTCTTTATAAAAACGTACAAAACATCTCCTATTAAATCTAATTGTCAAATATTCGTTACTAAACAATGTACAATGTTGAGATTTACTTTGAATAACCAATTCTCTGTTTGCTCTCTGTCTAGATATATGTGAAAAACGCATCGACATATGCATGTTCTATTTATAGAACAAGGTATGAAACCGATGAAGTTCGTTCTCTCCTTTGATACATTTTTCATCAGATTTAAAAATTTAATACCAAACCATTTCGTAAGGACACACAGCAGTTTTAAAGAGTGATGTTAATTCGTTATTGAAATTTTCGAAATGTTTGCGCAAGAAAAAGTTATTAGGAGAAGCCATCTTGTAGAATTAAAATATCGTTGATAATGATAGAGAGATTGTTTTATTTCATTCTATTTAGAGATTCATTTCTTCACCATCCTTTTACTTAAGCCTCCAGAAATGAAATAACGAAGTTATTCTTAGATTAGAATAAGACATTGTTAACATAATGATCTGTGATGGATGGAAGGATCGAATATCGCTAAGTTTGTCTATCACGTTTGTGATGAATTGATATTCATGTGAAAGCATTGAATAAGAAATATTTTGAGAAAAAGAATTCAAGTAGAACTACTGAACATTAATGAAAATATTGATAAAATACAAAAAAGCACCATTTATTTTGTAAAATAAATAAAAATCGTATGTTTTTATTTAGCATGTAAATCAGTATGTGTATCCATTTTTAGATTTTTAATTAGTGGACAATTTTCATGACCATTTTCTATTTGTACCATTTTCCAAATAAGATCATATTGAATTTCTTCTGATACAATTGAATCTTGTTTATATGATGAATGTGAAAGTACAAATTGTCGTATCCATGACGCATTTGTTAATAAAGTTCCTTGAAAAGATAATCAAATAAAGATAACAAAAAAACGAAAAGTCTAACCTGCAGCTCGTTTTGATATAAGTAAAAGATATTGTTCAATCGTATGTCTTGTATCAGCATCAATATCTTCTCGTTCATAAATATATTTTCTAACAAGTGGAACAAGACCAAGAAAACCATTGTTACCATTTATTATATCATTTATAAACATTTGAGAAATTTGATTATTATATTGAAAATAAAATTTTTCTCGACGTATTGAATCTCGATTATGTGCTTTATTCATATTTTCATTTATTTGAGATATTGGAATTGTTATATCAAGACCATAACTTATTATAACTCGTGTTATTAAAGCTAAGAAAACAACAAGTGCTGCATTTTCAAAATCACTTAATTGAATCTAAATTTTACAAAATATTTATTTATTTAGTTTTAAAATAATTTCTTAACATACATCCATTGGTCGAAATTCTACTCGCCATCCTAATAAATCATCATTTAATGGTGGTGGTTTTAATCGTAAAGTATTCCATACAAGAGAATTTAAATTCTAAAATTAATTTATTTGAAAAATTAAAACTAAAAACTAAAATAACTAACTTCAAAATGATAGGAATTTGTATCATCAACAGGATGAAGAAATTCTTTTAAAATCACAAGTGGATCACGAATAAATAAATGACCAAAATGACGAGATAATGTTTCGGGCATTCCTTTTTTTTTTTTTAAAAAGAAATTTTTTCTAACTAAACAAAATATAAACAAACCTTGTTCAATAAGTTTTGAAACAACGAATTGATCAACTGGATAATCAATATCATTTAAATGTTTATTTTTATCAGCTAAATAAGATGGAGCTGAACTATAACGTGATTGAAGATTTTTTTCTTTTTTTTCTTCAATTGTTCGATCATCAGCAGCTTCACTTATTATATTCCATCGACAATCTATATCAGATAAATAACCACGCCATATTGGACTTGCAGCACTTAAACATAACTATGCAAAAATATTTCGAATTTAAAAGAAAATAATAAAACAAACAAAAAAGTACCATTATTGGACATAATGGTAATAATTGATCATAAAGATGAATACTTTCTTCAAATGATTCAGCTTGAAATGTAACTTGAAGACAACAACAACCCCAACCAGCTGTTGAACTATCCAAATGAATATGATCATCTTTTATATCAGGATCATCTTTAAATAATTCATCACGAAATGGAGATAATGTACATGAATCTTTGAATACTAAACAATATCAAATATCATTTAACTTATATATCAAAACAGTTTATTGAATTTTTTTTATTGCATAAATTGATTTAAGAAAGAACAGATTTTCATCTTAAGGAACAATTTTCTAATATTTTTTTAAAATAATTGTCAAAAATTTTCTGAGCATATTCATTTCAATTAGAAAGAGTCAAAATTGTTATAGATTCAAGATTTCCGAAATGTTTCCTCTAAGAAAATAGATTACTAATGTACATCTTCAGTTTTCTGATCATTAACACAGTGTAATTAGGGTATATTGATGTCATTGGAGCATACTAATAGAAAAAGCATATTTATTCATTGAGTTGATGGAAGAAACGCAGATGTCATCTCTGTCAATGAGTAATTATTTAATATTTTTCTCAAGTTAAACTAAATCAAAGTCGAACTTCTTACTTTCAAAACGATGTAAATAAAGTTTGTATTCGTATAAAGAAAAATAATTGACAATTTCTCAATTAGTCAAGCGCAATGTTTGTTGTTTTTTTTGTCTACAGGATTTCCTTAATTTATGTAAGTTTATGTTCATTAAGTCTAAGATATTAATACAGAAGATTCATTATTCTTTATATGAAAATATCTGTTTAAATTTATTAAATAAAATAAAATTTGAATGTTACTCATATGTCTTTTTTTTTTTGTTTGAATCAATCGAAATGTTTTCTATTTGATATAAAACATTTGTTTATAAAAATGATGATTGATAGGTATGAATATGTAGATAATCAAGAATTATTTTTATTTTGTCGTTAAATTTATTTCGATTTGATTCATTTGTGTCTTTTTTTTTCCTTTTTAGTTTAATTAATAAAATTCTTTAAATAAAACTAACTTGGTATGTTAATTGATGCTTTAGATTGACGTCGTTCATGTGTATTTGTTGATAAAGATCTTTTAATAGAATAAATTATTAAAAAAAAAAAAACAAAAAATTTATTTTTACTTTGTTCGTGGATGAACAGGTGATATAAGTGCATCGGGATAACATAAAGATTTTTCAACCGAATAATTCGAACCATATTTAATTGGTGGATATATATAGTCTCCTTCTCCATATCTTTTATTATAGATAAAGAAAACAAAAATAATTAGTTCATTGAGTTCTTTAATAGGTAATCGTACAAATATTATAGTATTGAATTACAATCAAAATTTTGTTTTTTATTTATAAAATTGAGTTGAAAAATGTTTTGTAAGATTTCAAATTCAGAAGTAATAAGTTGATTTTATTGACATTTGTACATTAAGTTCGGACAAAGTTTTAGCTCGATAAAAAAAAACTAACGTTAATGACTGTTTAGTTTTATGTCATTTTGCTAATAGCGAATATTTTGATAAATGACATTATGTCAATTTAGATTATCTTCTCGATTTGTATGAGAAACAATATTTTAGAAAAATATCATATTTTTTTTATACTTTGAAAAGAACAGAAAATTTTCACTATTGATCTCATATTTTTAAATGTAATTTTTATTTCAATAATTTACCTTGGAAAAGCAGCAATATTTAAAATATATTCACAATTCGATTGTTGAGATAAAATTTTTTGTACTTGTTCTCGTCTTAATTTCATATTTGCTTCAACAGTATTAAAATGAGATGGTAAAAATCCATAAGGTTGAAATGGAACACCTTCAACAACAAAATCACATGCTTCAGGATGCCATGCTATACGACATTCTCTTTAAATATTTTAATATATCAAATTTATTTTATATGAAATATATATATATATATTACCCATCATCAATTTTATTATTTAATTTCAATAATATTGGTAATAATTGATGACCTTTTAATAATAATTGAACATTTTTATTTTCATGATCAAATCTTACTAATATTAATTCAACCTTAACAAAATAAAATAAAATAAAATATTAAAAATATTTGAATAATAATACTTCATCTCCCCATGTAAATATATCTTTTTGTCGATTTTTATATTTATGAAAAACACGTATAAGTTGATCAAGTGCATAATTACGTATTTGTTCAAGAGCAAGTTTTATTTCATTCCATGATAAAGGAACACCTTCAGATAATAGACCCATTTAGATTGAATATAAAATAAAAAATTTTTTTTTTATAAAATATATAAATGCATCATAGATGTGGGAATTAATCTTTCGTTTTCTTCTCATTCTTTTGTTTTTTTCTGACGTCAAATATTCCTTTAGTACAAAACACATGACAAATAAATGTCGACAATAAAAATAAAAAACAAATGTGTCAATTGAGTAAATATAATGTAGTCTATTTATATATTCGAACAATATTGAGTAGAATATGAGGTTATACTTTCTTTTGTTTTCTTATAAATGAACTATTTTATTGATTTCTTATTAGAATTCTTTTCAATACAAAAAAAAAAAAGAAAACACAAGGAAATATTATTCATGACATGCATTTATTCAATATTAATAAAAACATCTAGAAAAATAGTATTTTTCATCAATGCTATTTTTTTTTTTACTAAAACTTGTTGTTATGAATAATAATTATTTGTTCTATTTTCATTCATTTATTTGAATCATTCGGCTCCTTTTTTTATATCTTATTATGTCTTTTTTTATCAAAAAAAATGAATCATTCATTACTATATAAAAATTATCTTTTATAAAAACTCAATCATGTGTAACATTTTAAACAATAGTTTATAATTATATTTCTAATATTAAATCTAATTATAAACTTCGATTTTAAGGTCAATGTTATTTTTAATTTCTTGTTAGTTAAATATCAATAAAGTTAATTATATAAATAAAGATAAAATGTTTTTTTTTTTATCCTAAACGAAGAATACTCTCATCTTAAAAATTAATTTTATTAACAACGAAACTCATTGATTATTGACTTTTATCGAACGATACAAATATAATAAATAGTGTGATTCGTTAGTTCAATCAACATAAATAATCATGTTTTTTTTTTTTTCTCCATTACACAATCATGAAAATGTTATGCTCTTAATTGATACAATTAGCATATGAAAATAAAAGATATTATTAGGTCAATTATTTCTATAAGAACAATAAAATCTATAATCATATTTGTTTGAGTAAATGCAGCAAATAAACATAAGATCGATGGAAAATAAGATTAATAGCCGTCAATAAATGCCATTTGAAATGTTTTCTTCTAGTGGATATAGAAACCGGCTGGTATGAAAACAATAATAATAAGAAGAAGAAGAGTTAAGTCTTATATTGACATAATGTCCTTGGAATCTTTCTTACTTAAGAAGATATATGTTGTTTGTATAAATGATATCGAGAAAGAAAAAAAAGAAAAAAACCGTTAACAATGCTCTGTGTATCTCTTTCTCTAGCATGAGTTTAATTGCGTTGTATACGAGTCGCACATACTTTGCGACTAATTGAATCTGAGTTGTCGCTCTTTTTTTTTTTTTTGCTACCGAACTACATCGTCATCGATCACCCGAGCGAGAGAAACTTGTTCTTATATAGATCATCATTTTGTCGAAGCGAATCGAGCCGAGAAAGAAGAGAACAATCAATGATATTAGAACGACGAAGAACTTTCATATTCATTATTCAAAGAAAGTTACTTTTATTAGAAAAAGAAGAAGATGTGACGGCAGCTGCAATTTATGATCTATAGAAAAATTTAAAAAACAAATCTAGACAATGATTGTACCAGGAATTTGGTGGTTATCTTTTGTATGTTTTTTAACTTTAGCGGGCAATGTCCTTGTTATATTAGCTGTTTATCGTGAAACATCACTTCATTCTCCAACATATTATTATATTGTTTCATTGGCTGTTGCCGATCTTTGTGTTGGAGTTATTGTTATACCATTAGCAATATTTTTTGAATTATCAACACCCACATCTTATCATTTTTTATGTCATTTATGGCATATAACTGATGTTGGCGCATCAACAGCATCAATTCTTGCTTTATGTGTTATTGCACTCGATCGATATATAGCAATAACTTCACCTATTCGATATCCAAGATCATTTATAGCTCGACATTCATCAATTGTTATTGCTGTAATATGGTTTTGTTCAGCAATTATTGCTGGTCCAACAGTTATTTTTTTAGGACGAAGAACAAATTTATTAGGTTAATAATTAACTAACTAAATATATATATATATATATTAAAAATTTAATTATTATTTTTTTAGAATCTGATATAAATCTGTTAAATAAAACAATTGATGATCGATGTGAATTTCCTTCTGATCCCGTATTTATAATTGTATCATCATCAGTATCATTTTATATTCCACTTGTAATAATGGTATTTGTCTATGGACGAATATTAATATTTGCTCGTAGACAAATGACAGCATTAAGACAAGGTTATAAACGTACAACAAGTGGTGAAACATATCAATCGTCTCCAAAAGTACCTCGATTTTGTTTTCGTACAGGAAAAACTCGTAATAGACCAGCAATAAAAACAATTGAAAATATAAATGCAATATCAAATACACCTGAAACAATAACATTAAGAATACATCGAGGAAAATATTGTCGATCTCCATCATTACCACCAATAATACCAACTCATCATCGTGTTAGTCATAGATCATTTCCCGTTATTGTTTTACGTCGTTTACGTAAACTTCATCATAGTAAAAATTGGTCACGATTTTCAACTGAACATAAAGCAACAAAAGTTTTAGGAGTTGTTATGGGTGTATTTATTGCTTGTTGGTTTCCATTTTTCTTTTTTCTTGTTCTTACAGGAGTATTTAATATTCATTTTAAAAATTCACAAGAACAACTTTTTCGTCTTTTTACTTGGCTTGGTTATACCAATTCAGCTGTATGTATTATTTCATATTATATTTTGCATATATATTTATTTTCTGGTTTTTTTTTTTCTTAGCTTAATTTTCTTCTTTATTCATTAACATCAAGAGAATTTCGTTTAGCATTTATGAAACTTCTTTGTCCTCGTCGTTATGTACAACGTTTATTAAAACAACATAATCGTGCAAAACAACCACAAAGAGTTTAAAATTAATTTTTTTGTTGTTGTTTTCTTAAAAAAATATTCATCAATAAGACAAACAATGTATTTACAAAATTTTAGTCTTATTATTAATTATGTTGTATGTTTTTTTTATTTCTTCATGTTCATTAGAGATTTTCATTTGCTTATATGATGAAAATATTTTCGTAAAAGATATTTTTGTTTTTCTTTTCTTTTTAAACAAATATGAGATATTTTACATTAACTACAATAACTATTATTTTCTTAGTAAAGAATCCTCTTGTCAAATGTTTATTCTCTGCTATTGACATTTTGCACTAAACAAAAACATTAGTTACACAACAAAAACTAAACAGACATATGAAAATTATTTGTTGTTCTAATAATAGAGACATGAACTTATTGTGTTTATAATAAGTTTTCAATGAGATTGATAAATTATTTTCCGTATGAAAAACATCTTACATGATTAAAAACAGATTTTTGTTTGTTATCCAAATAATTTGAATAAAAAAAAAAAAAGAATTAAGTCACGATCTATTTTAGAACTTATTTCAATTGAACTTTTCATATTGAGATCAAAGATTTTGTTTTGTTTTTTTTTTCTTCTAATAACACTTGAGATAACAAAGTAACAAGTTTGATCAAGATTTCCTATTCTAGAGTAAATAAAGAAATAGATTGAAGACTGATAGTATTTAGTTGACGTGTGACCTTATATATGCAAATCACATGTCACTTCCCAGAAGATTGTCTCGTCGTAATGAATGTTTTTTTTTTTTTTACAATACTATGTAGATTGTAGCTTATAAGAGACAAATCTTAAAAAAAGCAAATTAACATATTCTAAAAATGGTTATTCTTATTTACTTACTTAAATAAATATATTAGATTTTTCTTTTTTTTATTCTATGTTAAGAGTGTTATTCAAAATATCGATTAGAATAATTTGTTCTAAATTGACAAATACATTATGTCACATCATTGAAATGATTAAAATAAAAATAGAATATATTTAATTATTTAACGTTTATTTTGTAAGTCGATCATCAGCTGTAAAATTATTATTTATTATTCAATAGAAAGTCTTTTTTCATTTCCATAGACTTATCTTAATCAACTACATTTATGTTAAATATATTCATTTCCTAATAGAAAGTACTCATATGAACTAGATTATAGAAAAAAAACAAGGCTATATATTGAGTGTAAGATTCTATGTTTATTCTAGTAGGAATTATATATTTTTTTAATATATAAAGAAAACTTTCAATTTTTCTTCGTTAATAACAAAAGTCTATATTTTCGAATGATATGACTATATTCTTTATTTCTCTCTCTCTAGAGAAATGTATACAATTTTGACATATTTTTATCATTAATAAGATGAACTATAGAATTTATTGTATTGAAGTTTATTTAATAAAATATTCACAATTCCTTCACAAATATAAGATCAACATATTTTGAAATATTCATCTACAATGCAAAACATTTAATTCAATTCAAACCACCTTTTTTTGTATTTTGGTAATACTTAGAACTTTGGTCTATGGAAAATCATAGAAAATTCTGTTAGTTTTCAGTTTATTAAAGATTGTGTTCTTTTTAAGATAGGATTTAAAGTTTAATGTTCGACAAGAATAAATAGTTCTAATGTATGACGTCTTCATCTATCATAATTGATTAATTAAAAACTTTTGATGATATATATTAGATTAAATAATCGGTAAGATAAAACACACGAACATAATTACATATTTTTGAAATTGTTTTATATAGATAATGTCAATATTGAATGTCATTTAAACAGAAATAATTTATCTAAAATTAATTCGATACAGTTTCAAATTTCTTGTTCGAACGAATATTAACCAATAAAAATTTCATAGGAAAAGAATATATTCAATAGAGCAATGACATAGATATAATATAGAAATAGTAGAAAATATTTATAAACGTTTTTTAATGTCATTATATTCTAGTTCTCAGAAAAGTTCTTCACTTAGTTGAATTTTTTATGAACAATCCCATCATGACCGTTAATAATTAAGCGCATTTCTACATCTTCAAAGGTGAACACTTTCATTGAATTAAATTATTCTAAAATTTTATATTAGTTTCATCAGATATTTCTTTTTTTTTCATCTCACAATTTACCATTTTATTCTTACTTAGATTTATTACCGTTAAACTATAAAATGTGTATTTTCATTTTTATCTTTGATATATTTATTTAGCAAAAACGGAAGCAATCGATTTGAATAAAAAAAAAAGAAGCTCCATAAACTTGTTTTCTTTAATCTGGACGTCCAAAATAGAGGAAGAAGAGTCATTAGAACTGTACACCGAGAAAAGAGGTAGAATCTGTCAACTCCAAAATTTTCGAATTCGAAACTAAACTAATAGACTCTACAGATAAATTGATATGAACATGCACATTGAAAAGCTTGGCAATGATTTGGATAGATTTAAATTTTTACACACAAATGATAATCATTCTTTAAAATAAATAAATTCTTAATATTAATAAGTCTCAAAGAATATTCGATTTTAGGATTATTTATATTAAATAGAAAAACAATATGAAACACAATCATCAAATTCTTCAAAATTTCCGTTTAAATAATTTAAGTTAGATAATATTCGTCGTATGTTATATTAATTAGAATAAGTAAATGATAAACTAATTGTTTATAAAATATTTTTATTAATTCTTTTAATAAACAAAAAATTGATTAAATTACAAATGAAAAAAAAATTAATTTTCATAGACTAACGAGGAAGGGTCCCCAACTGATCAATCGCTTTTGCGTCGAGGCTATGTATATTATGTAGGTACAAATGAGCTATGAATACCCTAAAAAAAGTTTGGGCTGCTCGCTTGTTGGTACGAATACAGTATGCTTTAAATAAATGCCGTGGTCCCCCTCAGGAACACCAGAAAAATGATTTTCCGATTTCGACTTGAAACTTTATGTAGAAACAGATCTTACTGAGAATAGTATTTTGTGAAAATTTCAGACTTTTTTGCTGTTGTTATCCGTACATACAGATATGATAACTTGATTCGGATAAACCAGAAGATTTCATGCTCTCATTTCAGGATAGGAACAAATCAAAAGACCTAAAACCTTCATAAAATACTATTCTCAGTAAGGTCTGTTTCTACATAAAGTTTCAAGTCGAAATTCGAAAATCATTTTTCTGGTGTTCCTGAGTGGGACCACAGCATTTATTTAAAGCATACTGTATTCGTACCAACAAGCGAGCAGCCCAAACTTTTTTTAGGGTATTCATAGCTCATTTATACCTACATAATGCACATAGTGTTGATGCACAAGCGATTGATCAGTTGGGAACCTTCCCTCGTAAGAAGAATGTCATTGAAAACGACTGTTGAATCGAACACAAGAAAGAAGAAATCATCAGGCTTCGTAGCGATCCGTCCCGGATATATAGGAAAATATAGGATTTTAAAAGTGGCATTTTTATAGGATTCCAATAAAAATATAGGAAATATATAGGATGGTTTTTTCTTCAGTAAGAGGCTTTTTAAGAGGTTCGCCATACATTACTGTGTTCCTGAGATCGTAAACAGCTCCGAGTCGAAGTTGTCAGGATATCAAAAACGAAAGCATCTTTCAATTCCCAAAAAAGAGATTTAACAAAGTTCACTGCAAAAAAATGATTAAATCTGTTTGATTAATTAACAACTATGGACTAATATCTGTACAAAAAAAATATAAAATAGAAACAATAAAAATATATACAAAAAAAAAGCTTGGAATTATTTCTATAAACAGCTTGTATCAACTTTTTTTTCATGGTTATTGAGATTTAACAAATTGAAAAACTATATAAACAATTACACACAAAAAATATAAATGGACAACAGGAAAAAAATCTATTTTAATTAAAACTAGTGGCAAAATCAGATATTTCAGTATGCTGGAATTCAGCTTTAGAGCACAGGATCCAAATGAAACTTGATGGAAGTTGATATTAGTTCCAAATGATGACGTTCTATCAAAAGATTTTTTCGATGGGAGTTTGAGAAAAAAATCATCATTTTTCTGAACCATTTAGAAGTCTTTGATACTGTTAGTAGTATCCGGTTTTTGAAAATGTCACAGAAAGCTACGTCAAATTCTATGGACAAATTTCAAATTTCATCTAAAAATATTGGTTTCTTGAGGATTTATAATGTTTTGAAGTTTTGCTACATGTCCGAAAATTTACTTCAGAAGTTCAAAATGTTATAAATTCTGAACAAATCAATATTTTTAGATGAAATTTGAAATCTGTCGATGAAATTTGACGTAGCTTTCTGTGACATTTTCGAAAATCGGATACTACTAACAGTATAAAAGATTTCTAAAAGGTTCACGGCAGAAGTGTCCATGGCGGTGCGGTAGCGGCAGTTTTTTTAAAACAACCATCGTGACGCGCTAGCTTTTTTCTTTTATCGCCACGGCACGGCAGCGGTCAGTTTTCAACCGCGATGGACATCTCTGGTTCAGGAGAATGGTAATTTTTTCGCAAAATTTCATCGAAAAAATCTTTTGATAGAAAGTCATCATTTGAAACTAATACCAATTTCCATCAAATTTCATTTGGACCTTGTGCGTGAAAGCTTATCAGATCGGAACATAAGTTCTGCACGTTTTTTTTTGTGTTTTAGGCAAATTTAAGCCCTTATATCTCGTGACTGGAATGTGATGGAAGTCTGAAATTTTTAGTGTAGATCGAAGTCATAGAGATCTATCTAAACTAAAAATTTCAGGCCTTCATTACTTTCCAATCACGAAACACAAGGACTTAAATTTGCCTAAAACACAAAAAAAAACGTGCAGAACTTGTTCCGATCTGATAGTTTCCGCATATCGAAAAATCCTGGTTTCATCACTAAACCAATCCTAATAGTGAATATACCTATACACAATAAAATATGTATACACTAGCGCTAGTTGCTATTCGTTTTACTATAGAAGTTATGGCAATATATACCGAAGCATGTGTGTTTTTTTTGTGATTGAAATATATTTCATTTTAAAAGAATTTTGGCTTTTTTTTTAAATATATAGGAAATATAGGAAAATTCCTGAAAAATAGGACATTATAGGACAATTTCTAAAGATATAGGAAATATAGGACGACTACGAAGCCTGGAAATCATGATGAAAAGAGTTCAACTATCTTAAAAATTGGCGTGTCATTATGTTTAATTTATTAAAAATTTTTCACTTTTTTAATATGTTAAAGTACTCTCATAATACATATTAATAATTAATCACATCGTTCCACATTTTCAAAATTGAAAGTGATATTCTCGCTGTTTATTTGAAGTTAAACTCTAATGAGTAAATAGACAAGGATAGTAGAATATGTTTTTCTTAAACTTATTCGAATAAATAAAATAAAAATAATTCACACTTGAAAATAGTTAGAATGATGAATATAAAATAATTGATTTTTAACGACATCTATTAATCGAACAAAGAAAAAAGGGAGGACAAGACACACAGTGATAAATCAATATGGCTGAATTTGTTTAGTTAATTGATTACAACAAAAAAAAAAGTAGTTGTTAATGATTGTTGGGAAGAAGATGAATGTGATTCATTGATTGTCAATTATCGTTTTCTTCCTATCTAATAAAATAAATAATATTTCTCAATGGATTTTATTTAATAATCATCGAATTAAAATGGTTAATAAACAAAAACAAAAAAAAATTTCCTAGTTGTTTATTTACTTTATTTGTCATTGAAATTATTATTTATATTCTGTTAGTTATTATGAAAATATTCAATGTAAAACAATGAAATAAAAAACAACAAGTTAAATATATTTAAAAAAACATTATTTATTTATATTGAATGATATTTATAAATGGTGTAATGGATAATAAAAACAAATATGATGTGATATATTTTGCTGTTGATCAATGATATAATATTGAAGAATTAATAAATTATAAAATCTCCAATCAATAAATGAACTTTTCTTTTTCTAGATTTAAATTCAAATAATTAAATTAATAACGGGTAATCAAAAATAATCTATGTCTTACATTTTTGTAAAGAAAACTTTTTTTTTTTATTTTTCTTTTTTTTTTGTTTTTTTTTTGGGCTTTTTTTTTTTCCTCTATTTTTAGATTTTTGTCTCCTCTTTTATTCTATCAAATCTTTCGCTGTGACTAAGCGAGTCTACAAAGCCGCTCCTAATTATGTGAGTTAGAAAATAGAGAAATTATGAGAAAAAGTGAGATTATTCCATTTTTTCCCAAATCGCGTTTTTATTTATTTATTTATTTATTTTTTCTTTTTGAACTCAAATTCTAATTAATTTAAAAATAAAATTAAAAATAAAACAACAAAAATATTTTTAATTAAAGGGATAACGGTGCAACAAAACCGCAACAACAACAACAACAACAACAATCATCAAGTAGTACAAGTGAATATACAGGAGGAGAATATTCATCGCAACAAAGCAATGAACAAAGAAATGAATCTTATCCTCAACATCAAATATCAACAACTGTAACAACAAATCGTCCATCAATGAATTCTTATGGTGGTAGTACGGGTCAAACAGTTAATTCAAATGGAAATAATCAAAATCCATCAGGAACAAATACATATAAATTAAAACAACAAAGAAATTATGGAAGTAATCGTTATGATCCATTGGGTGCTCAACAAGCTGGTTATCAAGCACGTAATGCTTCACAAATTCAAGGTCAATGGAATAATGGAGTTGCTGCTGCTGTTGCTGCTGCTGCACAAACATCATATGGAGCATTTGGAAATCCATTTGGTCTTCCACATCATTATCAACAACAAGCTGATATGTATGCTGGATATTATGGAACACCTCAACAAACATCTTATGGACCACCTGGTACTCAACAAGCTGTTTATGGTGAATATGGTCAACAAGTTATACCACCTGAATCTCCTAAAGGTGGTCATGTTGTTTATATTTATGGAATTGGACAAAGAGCTACTCAAGAAGAAATTTATGCTTTATTTCAACCATTTGGACGTGTTCTTCGTGTTGATATTATTATTGATTTTAATACAGGTTTATGCAAAGGGTAAAGATTTCTTTTCTTTTTTTGTTTTCTAATGTTTTATATTAATATTTATTTAGATATGCATTTGTCGCCATGGAACAATATCAAGAAGCTCAGATGGCAATTCAAAGTTTAAATGCAACTCCATTCCATGGTCGACAATTACAAGTTCGATTTAAGACATAAATACATTTCTGTTTTGTGTTCTTTTTTTTCTTTATCAATAAATCTGATCGTTCCAATCTCGTGCTAGAGGCTAAAAAAAAAGAAGAAATGCCGGATATGAAAAAGGATGTGTGTATTCCCTCATCCTTTGATTATTCGATCAGAATAACATACTGATGATGTCATCTGCCCACTTGTCCGTCCATGATCGATCGAATCATCGGCTATAAACTTGTTTCCTTTTATTCTATATTTCTCTATCTCTCTCTCTCTTTCTCTAAAACCTGATTAGTCGTGTGATTCGCGCTCGGATATAATTGACTATATATGATTCCAACAGAATCATCAATGAATGCGTCCTAGAATCAGTAAAACTACAAAATGTTTCTTCTTATTCTTGTTCTACTTATATCGATTCCACTTGTCTCGCCATCTTATCACATTCCAAAACTTGGACGATATCACACATTTTTGAGAATTGGTAAACGGCATTTTAACGAACCATGCATTAATCCATCAATATGTACAGAAAATCAACCAAGTTTGTATAATTAGTCTTATTTTTTTAGTATTTTTTTAATAATTTTATTTGTTTATAATTTTAAATATAAAAAAAGGAACTCCAATGAAATGTATTGTATTTTTCAATCAACACTTATGTTGGCCACAAATAAGTGAAGAAAAATCAATGAGAGATCAAGATTCGAGACCAAATCATCTTAATAATCGCATATTTAAAGACAATACCTGATCATAGTTTTCTGTTTTTTTTCTCTCTCTCTTTTCTTTGTAGACAAATGTCTCTTTAATTAAAAAAAAGCGAGTTTAAACAATAAAGATATTCTCTCTTTTAAATATTCATTTTATGTTATTTAAACAAAACGAACAAGATATGAAAATAAATCAAATTTAAAAAAAAAAACTTGTAACTGTTAATGTTGTCCACTTTGACAATAATAAATAAATGAACCAAAAGATATACATATTAAACTGAATATTAAAGAAATATATATTTCAATAAATATTAATTAAAAGATAAAAAAAAATAATTTACATATGACTTGCATTTTTGATAGATATTAAATTGTAAAATAATTTTATTATTTTTTGTTGATCATGATTATTATCGTTTCTATTTATTGAATTAACACTATATTTCAAGCATTTTGCTTTTTATCAATCATATACATATTTTATTTTATTGTTCGGATATTTAACTACATTTCGTTTCATATATTAACTAAACTATATAGAAAAACAAAAATGTTCACATCATATCATTAGAAAGGCAAACTATACTCATGTAAATGTCAGAAAATAAAAAGAACAATTAAATTATTCAACATATATCAAATTCATTTGACAAAATACTGAAGAATATGATTTGAAAAATTTAAGTCAATATTTCGATTAACAACTTCAAATGTCGTTTTAATGAGTAAGTTATTTATTATCTTTCCGATAAGTCTCTTATCTTAAAACAAAAACGAAATTTTCAATTGTTTCAATAAATATATATAGTATACTTTTTCGAACATCATATTTACAAATATTTCCCTAGAAAACAATGATCTTAATGCAATCAATTTGTTTTTTTGAGACAGAAGTAATTAAGTTTAATATAGTAGAATGAGACTATGAAATAATCTCTCATTAACAGACTTCGAAATATATGGAAAATTTATTATGTTACAATTAGAGATTTTTAGATTCTAATATTATAAAAAAAAGAAGATTTTTGTATGTCATCAAAACAAGCAAATACTCTTCATATATATATGAATAAAAATAATAACGAACAATAGACAATATGATACACAACTATTAGAAAGAACATTAACTTTTAAAATTATTCATCTCGATTGTTAAAAGAAATTTCTTTATAATGAGATTTTTGTTTTTATCGGAGAATAACTAATGAATGAGTTATTTATCTATAAATTTGAGTGAATTTTTTTTCATAACTCTTCTCTCATTCTTAAGTAGAGTCAAACAACAGTTATACAAATTAATTCTAAATAAGTTTTTCTAATAGTTTGAATCATTTTTATTAATAGATTATTTATCTCAATTAAAATCTTTTATTAAAGATCATAGAGTTTTTATTTATAATATTTGACTAATATGAATTTAATTGTGTATTATGAGACAATATATATATATATATATATGTGTAAAAAAAACTAGATTGATGAAAAGAATTCTTATTTAATATAGATATGAATATCCAACGTATTATCTCTCATGCTTTGAATATTTAATCGAGCTAAATATCAATTACTTTTTTAATTATCAATTTGAAATTAATTAATAACAACAACAAACAAAAAAATTTCAGCTAATCTTTATTAATCTTTAAAAAAATTCTTTTATTTTGTGTTTTGTTTTTTATAAAATTAGGGCACACCAACGTTCATCTTGAATATTTTCTGTTGGAGTTGTTGTATCAAAAACAGCCGATATACGTTTATTCAATTGTAATGTATTGTCTCGAAGATAATCCATAAATGATCCTTTTAATGGTCGAACTAAAACATGAGTATTTTCATCATCAAGTGGTACATGAGCAGTAAAACGACATTGATTAACACTATTTAACCATAAATGATCACCAGAAACAGTACCAGATAATTCTTTTATTTTATTATCACCTGAAACACGTACAACTAATACATTATTTAATTCTTGTTTTTTATCAACAATCATTTCCATCTAAATTTAAACAAAATTTTATTTAGAATAATAAATAAAATCTTCTAGTTTAGATCAATATTTGAAATACTTTAACTTCGAATAAATGACGAGCATTAACAAAATTAACCCGTTTATTTTCTTTTTCATGTAAATATCCATAAGAAAAATAAATTTCAAGAGCTTCAAATAAATGCTTAGATACTGTATCTAATATAAACAAAACAAAAAAAGAATAATTTAACAAAAAAGTTCTAAAATTCAACTTACGATTAAATGAAAGTGATATTTCAGTTGGTGTTGATAATGATGATGCTCCAATAATTTGTCCTAATCTTTTACAAAGACATAAAATAGGTCTATTACCTTGTGCAAATTGTGATGTAACTGCTGATCCATTAACAACACCAATTAATGCATGTCCTTGTTTAAAATCAATTATTTGTTGAGCTAAATCAATAGCTACACGTTTTTGAGCTTCACGTGTACTTGCACCTAAATGTGGTGTACATACAACTAATGGATGTTGAATAAGTTTAAAATCAGTTGGTGGTTCTTCTTCAAATACATCAAGAGCAGCACCACTACATTGACCAGAATTAAGAGCATTAAGAAGTGAATTTTCATCAATTATTCCACCACGAGCAACATTTATTAATTTTACACCTTGTTTACATAATAATAAAACTTCATTATTAATTAAATCTAATTAGCAAAAAAATACTAATATATATTATTAAAATAAAAAAAAAAAAATTATTTTTACGATAAGTTCCATCCATAAGTGGAACATGAATTGTTATATAATCAGCTAATGGCCAAAGTTCTTTTAATTCAAAAAATTCTACTCCAAATGTTAAACTTTGTTCAGCATTTATTAATGGATCATAACCAATTGTCTTAAGAAATTCAAACAAAAAAAATATTTTAATAATTAAATATTATTTTATAAAATAAAATAACCTTCATATTAAATGATTGCATTCGTTTTGCTACTTCTCTTCCAATTTTTCCTAATCCTATTATAGCTAATGTTTTTCCATTTAATTCTTCACCTGTAAATTCTGTTCGTTTCCATGCGCCTGATTTTAATGAAGCACATGCATTTGAAATATTCCTTTTTTTCAGAAACAAAAAACAAAAGTTACATTCTTTTTTTTTATTAATATTTTTTTAATATATTAACCGAGCTAAAGAACAAATCAAAGTACATGTATGCTCGGCGGCAGAAAGAGTATTGCCACTCGGTGTACTATATTGAAAAAAAATATATATATATTAATATTAAACAAGAAGAATGACGAACTTCATAACTAAGATTCCATGACGTGTTGCTGCTTCAGTATCAATATTATCTGTTCCTGTACCTGCTCGTCCGATTAATTTCAAACGTGGTGATCCTTCTATAACAGCATTTGTTACTTTAGTTGCACTTCGAACAATTAAAATATCAACTTCCTATATATATATATATAACTAAATAAACAAATACTATTAAAATTATTTTATTATACTTGAAGTCGTTTAATTAATTGTTCTTGAGGTTGTTTAGCTAATTTAATATCTTTTTCAACTGAAAATCCATTAGCAGTTAACATATCAACACATTGAGAATCAACATCTTCCGTGATTAAAACACGGTTCATATCACCGTAAGAATCCATTTCTAATCTAGAAAAATAAATTTGAAGTGTTATGTCGCAGATCGGTTTCTTTTTTTTTTTTTTTTTGCTAATGTAAATGTGGTTAAAGTACGTTTCTCAAGGATCGCTTTTATTTGATCAGCGAATGAGAGGAAAGAATAAAAATTTTTTTTTCTTTTTCTATCCTCTATTTATCGATTTCTTTTTTTTCTTTTTTTGTATCTACGATGAAGTGATATACACGACTCACGAACTAGATATGCATCGAAAAAGCCATTTTATCTTAACATACATTAACCTTGTTATCTCTTAGAAGAATTTTTCTTTTTTTTTTTTGGTTCTCATAACGCATTTTGCACTTATACAATATTATTTTGGGAATGTGAAAATAATAAAAAAAAGTCAAAAATAAATTAAGAAATTGATTAAAATATTAACTTTTATTGATTTAAATTTTTGAAAAGAAACGAACGAAGAAGATCTCTTGATGTTTTTTAACAAATGAAAATTCAGTATGAATCCTCTATCGCTTTCTGTAAATATACATGTATTCGTCTTATTATTCGCTAATGTTAATAAATGTGAATCAGTACTTAAATGATATTGATTACAGCTGTTTGCTTCATATATCTCTCTTCTCTACAGGTTTTTCTCTTTGTTCCATGTTATAATAACCTAGTCGCGATAAAATATGACTCGTTTAATATGTCATTTGGAATACAAGTTAAAGTGTCATAGTATTTATTTTTCTATTATTCATTTTTTTTTTTATCTTTATTTGACACGTGATCCAGCTTTTTGTTGATTCACAAGATTGAAAACATACTATCATATATATAGATGCACCAAAATTCAAATATGTAGATATGATGTACCCTCTAACTATATGAATAACCGAACATAATTGTCTTAATGTTAGATAAGGTGCTTTTACTTTTTTAATTATTATTAATGAACAAATGTGCATCGAGTTCTTTGATAATAGAAATATAACTGAAGGAAAGTTGCAATGACAATGTTTCTTGGTTATTTGTATAAATCAAGGTTTACGACGAGTGTAACAAGTTTTAGAAAAATGAAAATATTATTTTCTTTATAAAAAAAGAAATGCATGAGAGAATTTTTCAATTCCACAATAAACAAGATATTTCATTACATCTTCCTTATTGATGTTGTATAATGTAACTTATGTTTCTTATAAGTGAGTAGTGTCACATATCCAAGATTTTGGAGATGCCACCACATCTCCCGTGGGAGATGCCGTGTCTCCAGCGGGAGACGCGACACCCACACTCGAGAGATATGGTCATTCACCACTGGAGATGTAAGATCTCCTTTAGAGATGCGCATCCCCCACACCCACAACCGCATCTCTCGAGCGAGATACGGCATCTCCCGCGGGAGACGTGGTGGCATCTCCAAAATCTTGGATATGTGACACTGCTGTCAATACTTGAAGTTTTTTTTTCTTTTTGTCTACTTAATGATGAAAAGAAGAATAAAAAAAACATATTTGATTGATGAGAAGTATCAATGTTTTATTGACTAAATGCATGAGTTTAATTTAGATAAATATAAATAAGGGTAAAACTAAAAGGTTAATACGTGTTAAAGGTGAGAAAATCGAATAAATCGACGTGTTAGTCATTCATTCTAGAAAATAGTCTATTATTAATATTGAGTTTTTGTTTTTCTTTCTATTTATAATGATCTAATCAGATAAACATGTATATATATATATAATATGCTAAATAACTCTTGAAAATAAAGTTTAATGACTAAAATAATATCTTCGTGTTGTTTTTAAAATTTTATTTTGACTTAGATGTTGATGAAGTAAATGTTTTTTCAATATGATCAAGTATTTGAATAGCAGCTTCAGGAATACGTGTTCCTGGTCCAAATATAAGTTTAACACCTTGATCATATAATTGTTGATAATCTTGAGGTGGAATAACTCCACCAACAGTAATAACAATATCTCGTCGACCCATTTCATTTAATTTTTTTATTAATTCCGGTACTAATGTTTTATGTCCAGCACCTAATGTACTTACACCAACAACATGAACATCAGCATCGATTGCTTGTAATGCTACTTCTGATGGTGTCTATTAACAAAAAAAATAAAGTCTTTTAGAATTGATGAATTCAAATCTATAATTATCTTCGATTCTGAAAATCTTTGATCAACAACAAAGATAAATCTTATTTTTCTAAGAGAATTGAAATTAACTTTTGGAATAACTCTATTTTTATTTGTCCTCAACTATTACTTGACATTTAAATAGAATGACAATGCATTATTGAACTTCACATTGTTTAATTATAAATAGATTGTTACTTTTCTATTTGATTATGAATTAATAGATAAATATTTTGATTTTCGAAATTGGAAATTTTTTTTTTTTCAAACGATGTTAAAAACAAACTATGAATTAAATCTAAATTTTTATTGATAAAAAATAGCAAACAAGATTAACCATCATATTTCATTTATTAAATATTGTTTAATTCTTCTATTGTTCTACTTCAGTAAAACTTATATCCATTTAATGCAATCGAGATAGTATAACTTGACCTTTTATAAATATGATAAATGTCATTTTATCGAATAAATGAAATTTATCTATTTGTTTTTTTCTTCTGTTTTAATTGAAAAAAATCAAATTTTGTAAAAAAAGTTAACTTACAGCAAATAAAGGTCCAATATCAACATCAAATCCAAGATCACTGAAAGCAGATGCAATAACTTTAGCTCCTCTATCATGTCCATCTTGTCCAACTTTTGCAACAAGTATTCGAGGACGTCGACCATCAATTTTCAAAAATTTCTTTTTTTTTTTTAATAAAAGAAAAAAAAAAAACAAACAAACAAGTAAATAAATAAAATAAAATTTAAAATACAAACTTCAACTCGATCAGTAACTTGTTTAAGTTCATCATTTGCTTTTCCATCATTAAAAGTTTGTTTATATGCTCCACTAACAAGACGTGAATCAGCAACATGACGACAATAAACATCTTCTAATGCTTGAGAAATTTCTCCAAGTGTACAACGAGCTCGAGCTGCTTCAATACCAGCTTCAAGTAAATTTCCTGAACCTGATTTATCACTAGCAATTTCTCGAAGTTTTTCAAGACATTTATTAACCTATTAAAATAAATATTATTATTATTGAAAAAAACTAATGAAAATAAAACCTTTGATTGATCACGTTGTTGTTTAACTTTTTTTATTTTTTCAATTTGTTGTTTTCGAACTTGTTGATTATCAATTTGAAGAACTTGAATAACATCTTCTTTTTCTAATTTATATTTATTAACACCTTAAAACAAAACAAATAGATATTATTTATTTAAATTAAAATAAAAAAAACTATTCTAACCAACAATAGTTTCTTTTCCATCATCAATCATAGCTTGTCGTCTAGCTGCACATTCTTCAATTCTTAATTTCGGTACACCAGCAATAATAGCTTTAGCCATTCCACCCATTTCTTCAACTTCATTTATTAATTCTTGAGCTTTATTATAAATTTCATCAGTTAATGCTTCCATCATATAAGATCCACCCCAAGGATCAATAACCTAATTTAAATTCGAAATTTTTATTTTTTTTCTAAAATAAATTAATGTTAACCTTAGGAATTCCAGTTTCTTCTTGTAAAATAATTTGAGTATTTCTTGCAATTCTTGCACTTTGAACAGATGGAAGTGCAAGTGCTTCATCAAATGAATTTGTATGAAGTGATTGTGTACCACCAAAAACAGCTGATAATGCTTCTAATGTTGTACGAATAATATTATTATATGGATCTTGTGCTGTTAATGACCATCCAGATGTTTGACAATGACAACGTAACATTAGTGATTGAGCTTTTTTAGGTGAAAAATTTTTTTTCATTAAATTAGCCCATAAACGACGACCTGCTCGAAGTTTTGCTATTTCCTAATAATTAACAATATATTAATATTGACTTTTATTTTATTATTTTAATTAACTAAATACAAACCATATAAAAACTCATACCAATACCCCAAAAAAATGAAAGTCGTGGAGCAAAATCATCAATTGATAGTCCAGCTTTAATACCTAAAAACAAAAAAAAAAACCAAAAATATTTATTTAAATAATATTAATAAAAAGTAACTAACCAGTTCGACAATATTCAAGACCATCAGCAATAGTATAAGCTAATTCAAGTGCAGCTGTTGCACCAGCTTCTTGCATATGATAACCACTAATTGATATTGAATTAAAATGTGGCATTTTTTTTGATGTATATCGAAATATATCAGCTATTATTCTCATTGAAGGTTCAGGTGGATAAATATATGTATTACGAACCATAAATTCTTTTAAAATATCATTTTGAATTGTTCCTGTTAATTGATCTTGTTTTGCTCCCTAATTTATTACATATTAAAATGTATTAATAATAAAAAGATATTATATTAAAACAAATTACTTGTTCTTCAGCTGCAACAACATACATAGCAAGAACAGGTAAAACAGCTCCATTCATTGTCATTGATACTGATATTGATGAAAGAGGTATTGAATCAAATAATTGTTTCATATCTTCAACAGTATCAATAGCAACACCAGCCATTCCAACATCTCCACTAACACGTTCATTATCGGAATCATAACCACGATGTGTAGCTAAATCAAATGCAACTGAAAGACCTTGTTGACCAGCAGCTAAATTAGCTCGATAAAAACGATTTGATTCTTCAACTGTACTAAAACCGGCATATTGACGTATAGTCCATGGTCGTTGAGCATACATTGTTGGATATGGACCACGAGTATATGGATATGCACCGGGAATTTCTTCTTTACTTTTAACATCATCTGATGTATATAATGGTTTTAATTTAATTCCTTCATGTGTTGTGATATTGAGCGAATCTAATGGAATTTTTTTTAATTGTTTTGTTGCTAATTTACTCCATTCCGATTGCAATGATGATACACAAGATATCTAGTTTTATTCAATATTATTATATTATAT